TCATAAGCTTTATTTAAAAAAAACCAAACGAACAGAAAACAAAGTCATTTAGAAGCTCATTTAAAGCCACTGTGGCTGAAAAGGCAATTATGTGGCTCTTGGCAGTTTTAGGAGAGTCGCCGTCCCCAAGTTGAGTTACCAAGGACAGATTATTGCCAAAGCCCAGTGGAGAGTCATTGTGTAAACCCCAGAGCCCGGCAGGGGCCTTCAAGGCCCTAAGTGAGTTATTTCCCATGTAAGTCCTGCTTACTGTTACAGCCTTCTGGAAATCATTGGCATGGGATGTGCCGGGTGTTGCTGCCAAGGTCTGCTGTCTGCTGCTTGGAGCTCTGAGGGGCACAGTTGGCATGTGGCTCCACCATGAGCTGGACTCCCAGGGTTCCTGTGCTGCTGGGCCCACTTTGGCCTTGTTTTGAAGAGCCCTTGGAGAAATAGTGAAGGCAGGGATTCCGAGGCGCGTTCGTAGACAACTTGAGGAACATTTCATTTAATGTGCCTTGTCTGTCATTAAACATGCACACATTCCATTTGGCTAGCTCTGGTGCATAGAAACGCAGAAGGGTGGCTGAATGTGGTGGTGTGTGCCTGTAGTCCCAGCTACTCAGCTGCTTGGGAGGCTGAGGCAGGAGGATTGCTTGGATCCAAAAGTTCAAGGCTGCAGTGAGCTGTAATTGTACCACCGCACTCCAGCCTGGATGACAGAGCAAGACCCTGTCTCAAAAAAAGAGAGAAAGAAAGAAAGAGATGCAGAAGGATGCTCCATACAGGGAGTTTTCCCATTCCATGGTCTTTCTAACTGCGTCCTCTTCTTTCCCAGTGTGGACTAACAGGGAGAGGCAACAAGAAGCAAGTGAAAGATGTAGCAAGGGTGACTCAGTGTTGCCCACTGTTCCTGGAGAGCAGCAGGGGGAAAACTGGAAATGTGGTGGGGTAACTTGGAACCTTGCTAAAGCCTCACCCAGGGCAGGGTGATGTCGAAATTAGAGCAAAGGCTTCTGGGGCTGGAATCGGCCCAGCCTACAACCAGCGCATGACTTGAGCTTTCAGACAACACCTTTCTCTACCTCTTCCATAATAAAAATGGTAATGGAGTAGCCGCCATCTTTCAGCTTTCCCAGGATTGGGCAGGTGAAACTGGATTGAAAGACAGAGGTGACATCAGGCTCAGAGGTGACAAAGGGAAGCAGAGTCAGAAAGACCTTGAACTCTGACATCAGGCTCAGCAGCCACCCCTGACATCAGGCTCAGAGGTGACAAAGGGAAGCAGAGTCAGAAAGACCTTGAACTCTGACATCAGGCTCAGCAGCCACCCCTGACATCAGGCTCAGAGGTGACAAAGGGAAGCAGAGTCAGAAAGACCTTGAACTCTGACATCAGGCTCAGCAGCCATCCCTGACATCAGGCTCAGAGGTGATAAAGGGAAGCAGAGTCAGAAAGACCTTGAACCCTTCCTGCTTTGTCTCTTTCTCACTGTGTGGCCAAGGGCAATCTTCCTTAACCCACTAGGGCTTTCATTTCCTTGTCTGTAAGATTAGGTATTTACTTCCTCCTGGAGGTTTTGCAAGGTTTAATTGAGATGATATTAGTAAACTACCAGCCACTATTAAACACTTAATGAGAGCTACCATTATTACTTGTATTCATAAGTAAAATATTCTTCCATTAGGCTGGTGAGGACAAGCAGCAAAAATTAAAAACATAGATGCAACATGCCCTGGAAACTTGTCCTAACTGTGCTAAAGTTGTTCGTATGAATTTATACGGCTTCCGTTTTTCCCTCTTAAATGAAAGTCCAGTAACTGAAATCCACACGTTAGTTCCCATGGACACTGCGAGAAACAAAACCCTGTTCACAGAAACGCCTTGCCTTGTGTCTGCCCGGGACGGGTGAGATTTCTTTTTCCACCACCTCCAAACAAGACAGGAACCTGACAAACATTCAGTCCCTCCGTTCTTCCGACTCCTGTGGCCTGTGTCCCCAGCAGCTCTCCGCGTCTCTCTCTCCTCTTCCAAGCACGTACATTGTTCAGCTTCCCAAGCAGTGCTATTTTTTCCCATCTTGTAAGAACAGTTTCTCATTTTCTTCTAATAAACATTCTAGAATTTCACATTAGAAAGCTCTAGGGAGAAACATGTTTTAAAAGAGCTGAGGCTTAAAAAAATATATATTTGACTATTTAAATGCCAACCCCCTCCGCCCCCGTCCCAGTGAAAACTTTGCTACTTATTTCACCGGCTGGGTGATAGTTATAAGTTAACCTTCACCTCATTATCTACTGATAGGCTGTAACTTCTCCATGCTTCAGAGAGGCATAGGGTTTTGAACTAAAGTGCCAGGCTACGTTTGAAGCAATACATTAGTCGATTTCCGACTAATATGACTTTTCATTTGGGACAGGCACCTTTTTTCAAAAATCAAATCCCTGCAATCAAAGATGATTTTCAGTTGGGTTTTTTTTGTTTTGTTTTTTTGCCATCATGGCATCTCATCAGTGCAATCATCAGAAGTTCATTAAAAAAATAAAATAAAATAAGCTAGGTCAGGTGTGGTGGTGCACACCTATAATCTCAGCACTTTAGGAGACTGAAGAGGAAGGATTGCTTGAACCCAGTAGTTTAGTACCAGCTGGGCAATATAGCAAGACTCTGTCTCTACAAAAAATCTTATTTTATTATTATTATTTTTTGAGTCAGAGTCTCACTCCATCGCCCAGGCTCGAGTGCAGTGGCATTCTGCTACAGTTACCGCAGCCTCGACCTGCTGGGCTCAGGTGATCCTTCTGCCTCAGCCTTCCAGATAGCTGGAACCACAGGCATGCGCCACCACACCTGGCTAATTTCTTTCTTTCTTTTTTTTTTAATTGTAGCAACAAGGTCTCGCTATTGTTGCTCAGGCTGGTCTCAAACCCCTGAGTTCAGGCAATCCTCTCGCCTCTGCCTCCCAAAGTGCTGGAATTACAGACTTGAGCTACCATACCTGGGAAAAAATTAAATAAAAAACAAAAGCAGAGTAGCCAGGCATGGTGGTGCAAGCCTATAGTACCAGTTACTCAGGAGGCTGAATTGGAGGATCACTTGAGCCCAGAAATTTGAGACTGCCGTGAGCTGTGATCACGCCATTGCACTCCAGCCTGGGCAACCTAGTGAGACCCTATCTTTTCAAATAAATAAATAAAAATTAAAAACTGGCAACACAATTTTTATCTCTTTCCCCTGCTCTATTTTTTCAGAAGTGGACACAAATCGGCTTATATACTCAACTTAAAATAGTGAGAGGCTTGGCTGTGTTGGTAGAGGAACCGTAAGCTCTGTTCATCTTTGATGTTGACTATTGTTCTTAAAAATAAAAATGAGAGAAGGAAGCGGGGAGAAGGGTACCGTGATGCCTGAGGCTTGTCCCTTATGTGGGCCAAGGGAGACTCAGAACAGACAAACACAGGGAAAAAAGAGGGGACAAATACGGGTATTTAGAGAAGCTCAAAATCATGGCAGTGTTAGCTTGGTTTACGTTTCTTGAAATATTCTGGCCTCCTCTGCTCTGAAACCTAAAATGATTTGCATAGAAACAAGGATTTGATTATCACCGTGTTATGTTGGATTCATGTTAATATATTATATTGGATTCTTTAACTTGTCTTTGCAGGTTAGTTCGTGTGCTTTCTAAAGTTATTATGGGTTATAAGGGAAGGAATTGGGTCTTCATTCCATATACATGAATTTTGAATTCAGATTAATAAAATTTTAGAAAATGGAAAAGGCTGACTGTTTCAGACTATTACTCTTTTGGGAGTAATAAGGAGGGATCGTCATGAGAGTAACGACTAGATATCCCACATTTTCAGGACAGCCCTGGTTTAAAAAGCTGTTCCCGCAAATGTGCCCGGGGTCTGATTTTCAATTTGGAAAGGGTAGCCACTGCCATGAGGGCCTCAGATGCTGATTCAGCTCTGCAAGTCATAGCAGAACTGAACGTTCTGCACGGGGATGTGTGTCACACCCTTGGAGAGCCATCTCACACCACAAACACACATGTGACTTTGATTTATCCCAGAGTCCCAGTTTAGACACTTTGAGTAGCACCTTCACAGAGCAAACTGTACAACCACAACTGCCACGGGCGTGTTGTGTTCCAAGGAAAGAAATCTCAGGGAACCAGGCTGAAGAAGAATCAAACAGGTCAATGCCGGGCACAGTGGCTCACGCCTGTAATCTCAGCACTTTGGCAGGCCAAAGCAGGAGGATGGCTTGGGCCCAGGAGTTCGAGACCAGCCTGGGCAATGTAGCAAGACCTCATTTCTACAAAAAAGTTTTAAAAATCAGCAGGGCATGGTGGCATGCGCCTATAGTCACAGCTACTCAGGAGGCTGAAGTGCAAGGATCACTTGAGCCCAGGAGGCTGAGGCTGCCATGAGTCGTGATCGTGCCACTGCACTCCAGTCTGGGTGGCAGAGCAAGACACTCCGACTCAAAAAAAGAATTATTATTATGAAACAGGACAAAGCTGAGGTGGGGAGATAGAACATGCACCTCTTGGGCCTCTCCTTCCTACCTGGGAGCAGCCCTGAGGCCCTGGGAAGAGGCCTCAGAACTCCATGGAACTCACGGGCTCCCCAAAAGGCTCTGAACTGGAGCAAGTGGGGGCTGCGTCTCAGCCCTCACCTCCCACTCCGCCCGCCTGGGACCCTGCATTCCAGTTTGGGCTGGGGGAATTCTCCTGAGGAGGACCTTTGGCTCTTCCTGATGTGAGGCAGCAGTAACCGCCAGGTGCTGCAGATGTCCTGAGGGTTAGGTTGGGTTGGGTTGGGTGTGCCCCGCAAGCACGAGCTTTGCTCCTTGAGTGTGGTCTGCGGTGGTGTCGCTTCCAGTGCTTGACTCCCCTCTCCGCTGGGTTGCCTGGTGGGGCTGGATGCCGGTCCCAGCCTGTGGACGTGGGGCACACGCAGCCCGGTTCTCTCCCCATAGCCAGATTTCTCCTGATGACATTTTGTTTTGTTCGCTAGATGATGACTCCGATCTGTACTCTCCCCGATACTCCTTTTCTGAAGACAGTAAGTGACTGTGAACTTCCAGGTTGCGGGGGAGGGAGAGAGGGCAGTGGGTGAGGGAAGGTGGCGGGTTTCTGGTTTTAAGCCTTTTGTCTGCACTGTCTTTCTCCAGCAAAATCTCCGCTTTCTGTGCCTCGCTCAAAAAGTGAGATGAGCTACATTGACAGTGAGAAGGTCGTTAAAAGATCCGCCACGCTGCCCCTCCCGGCCCGCTCATCCTCACTGAAATCAAGCCCGGAAAGGTAGGTGCCCCACCCGTCGCTCCCAGCCTGGGCCTCGTGAATGTTCCTCGAGACCCAAGGGCTCCTTTCTTAGGGATGAGCAATTTGAATCACCTGTTAGCAGTGCCTTGTTCGTTCTGAGTCTCAGTCTCCTCATCTGTAAAATGGGAATAAGAACAGCACGACCCCTTGACAGGGATATTGCTAGGGTGCATGTAACATTCCTAGGCTCGCCTGGCTCATAGCGTGGGCCTAACTGGTGTTGATGATAATTATCATCACTTTTTACGTGTTTTTTTTTTTTTTTTGAGTTGGAGTCTCACTCTGTCACCCAGACTGGAGTGCAGTGGCATGCTCATGGCCACCCCAGCCTCAACCTGCTGGGCTCCGGCGATCCTGCCGCTTCAGCCTTCCAAGTAGCTGGAACTACAGGTGTGCGCTACCATGCCCGGCTAATTTTTGATTTATTGTAGAGACGAGGTCTCGCCAAGTTGCCCAGGTGGGTCTCGAACCCGCAGGCTCAGGCAATCCGCTCACCTCAGCCTCCCAAAGCGCTGGGATTATAGGCTGAGCCACCGAGCCCGGGTACTTTTTATGTTTTCACAAGAGATCTTAACTGCAAGATTTGTCACATGTTTTTATATTCTGTGTGCATACTCTGTTCACATATTCATAGCAAAGACTGTGATTTCCAAAGGAAGCCACACTGCTTTTTAATGGGAACTATTATTTTTTTGCATATATTTAAGGTGTAGAATGATGCTTTGATATACATGCACACAGCGAGATGGTTACTACAGTCAAGCAAATTAATATATCCACCATCTCAGTTACTTTTTATGTGTGTCTGTGGTAAGAGCAACTAAAATCTACCCTCTCTGCACATCGAAGCCACACTTTTTAGTGTCCATTCATCCATGCAGCATGTATTATTCATGTGCAAGGAAGGCATGGACTTGTTCTGATGACGGCATTGGTCATCCCAATCACCAGCCACCCAGTTTCTTTTTATTTTTTTGAGTTGGAGTCTCACTCTGTCGCCCAGATTGGATTGCAGTGGCACGCTCCTGGCCACCGCAGCCTCGACCTTGCTGGGCTCCGGCAATTTTTCCGCCTCAGCCTTCCAAGTAGCTGGAACTACAGGCGCGTGCTACCACGCCCGGCTAATTTTTTGATTTATTGTAGAGATGAGGTCTCTCCAAGTTGCCCAGGCGGGTCTCGAACCTGTGGGCTCAGGCAATCCACTCACCTCGGCCTCCCAAAGCGTGGGGTTACAGGCTGAACCACTGAGCCCGGCTCACCCAGTTTCTTTTCCTTAAGCTCTTATCTCTGAAAGTTCCCTATGGAACAGCCTTCTCATGATGTTTGAACAGGTGTCTGAAGCCTCTTCCAGCACACAACAGGATCTGGCTCAGCAAAACTATTTTCCCTGTAAATACACAGCCAGTCACACCTCCATACCTTTTTCCTCTCTGTAGACAATTGAATGGCTGTTTTAAGAGCACCACCTGCCGGGTGCGATGGCTCAAACCTGTAATCCCAGCACTTTGGGAGAGCAAGGTGAGAGGATTGCCTGAGCTCAGGGGTTCAAGACCAACCTAGACAACTTGGTGAGCCCTTGTCTCTACAATAGTAAATAAACTGTGCGTGGTAGTGTGCGCCTGTTGTTCCAGCTATTTGGAAGGCTGAGGTGGAAGGATCGCCCGAGCCTGGCAGGTCGAGGCTGTGGTGACCGTGAGCATGCCACTGCACTCCAGCCTGGGTGACAGAGTGAGACTCTGACTCAAAAAATAAAAATTAAATTAAAAAAAAAAAAAAAGCACCACCCATACATCAGCATTTACCTGAGGAGTTTGATAATTAATATGAAAGGAAGGGCCGGGCACAGTGGCTCACGCCTATAATCCCAGCACTTTGGGAGGCCGAGGTGAGAGGATTGCCTAAGCCTGTGGCTTCAAGACCAGCCCGGGCAACTTGGCGAGACCTCATCTCTACAATAAATAAAAAAAATTAGCTGAGCATCATGGCGCATGCCTGTAGCTCCAGCTACTTGGAAGACTGAGGTGGAAGGATCGCTTGAGCCCAGCAGGTCGAGTCTGCAGTGGCCAGGAGCGTGCCACTGCCCTCCAGCCTGGGTGACAGTGAGACTCCAACTCAAAAGAAAAAAAAATGGAAAGAAGACTGAGTAGACCCATAAATTCTTCACAGATGCCACTCATCAAGCACCTACTGGATGCTTTCTTTGCAGGTTGAACCAGATGTTAAGGAAGAATAGAAGTATATATCAGTCATTGTCCCTGCCTTCAAGAAATTTATGCCTTGCATGTAAAACTATGGTAATCGTGCAATCTAAAACATACTAAATCGTACAATCACAGTGCAAACTGCAATGATGCACATGAATTAAAAACTTGCAAACAGGCCAGGTGTATTAGCTCACCCCTGTAATCCTAGCACTTTGGGAGGCAGAGCTGAGAGGGTTGTCTGAGCCTAGGGGTTGGAGACCAGCCTGGGCAACTTGATGAGACCTCATCTCTACAGTAAATCAAAGAATTACCCAGGTGCGGTGGCATGTGCCTGTAGCTCCAGCTACTTGGAAGGCTGAGATGGAAGGATCGCCTGAGCCCAGCAGGTTGAGGTCGAGGTGGCCGTGAGCATGCCACTGCACTCCAGTCTGGGTGACAGAGTGAGTTTCCAACCCCAAAACCAAATTGTCAACAATTTCCAAGGATTCTTGCCAAGTTAAGTATCTGTGCCGAAGGCTGGGATTGGTGGGTAGCTGGGTGGGGTGTAGAATACGGAAGAATGCAATTCTATTAGCAGCTGGCATTGATTGGGTGGTTACTATGGGCCTGGCACGCTGTTCAGTGATTCACAGGATCCTCATTTAATCCGTACCACAACGCTTTTTTTCAGATGAGGAAACTGAGGTACCAACAGGTCAAGTGCTTGTGTGAGCTCACCTAGCTAGCAAGTGGTGGAGCAGGATTTGAACCACAGTCACCTGGCCCCAGGACCTGTGTTCTGTCTCACTGTGCTAGTGTGAGTGGGAAGAACACACACACTGGGGGAATGATAAACCCGTGAGAGCAGAGCAAGGTGACAGATTTTTCCAGAGCTAGCTTTGTTACTTCCTCCTCCCTCCCTGCTTCTTTCTCTTTCTCTCCACTTCCTGGTGCCTGGTTTTGAGCACTGGTCACTTCAAGCCTTTTGCAAAGTGAGCACAGAGATTTGAATGGTTGTCTTAAGAAGCAAACCAGCACAACCACATCTTTCTCCCTGACTCAGATGTTATGCTTTGGATATAGAGATTTTCTGATTAGACTGTAGCCAACCCAAATCTGACCATGTTGGAAACGGATGCTCATTTTCATGAAAATAGCTCTAATAGGATTTTCTTTCTGCAGAAACGACTGGGAACCCCCAGATAAGAAAGTAGATACGAGAAAATACCGTGCAGAGCCCAAAAGCATTTACGAATATCAGCCGGGCAAGTCTTCCGTTCTGACCAACGAAAAGATGGTAATGTGCATATTCAAGTCTTCTTGTCTCACCCTGTCCGTGTTCTTTAATCCGGATGCATTGTGCAGTCAGATTACATTCCTTGCCCCTTGAGACAGATTTGCTTTGTATAGGAGACAATGAAAAAATGAAGTATTTTTACCCCTTTCATTTTTGCAGGTGTTCATAAAACACGTCCCGAGAAGCTGCTTTTAAAGATTCCTGCCATTGTGCCCTGTTGTTCTTTGTGCATGGTTTTAACTCATATTAATTTATCTACTAACCTAAAGATTGATTTTGCTGCTGTCTTTTTTTTTTTTTTTTTTTTTTGTCTAGCTGTTAATTTATCAGGCTTTTTATTAGCGGAAATACAATTTTTTTAAGTGACGCTGAACAGGCATAAATTCTGTAGAAGTTACTAGAACATAATTGAAAGATAAATAACTAATAGAATGTTATGACTTGGAAAAAAGGCCCCAGGCTGTTGGAATGTCTTTTAAATCTTTCTTTTTTGACAAGTACAGTGTGGGAGGACTAATTTCATCTTCCGTCTGGTTTATGACTCCCTACACAAGTTCGCATCTCCAAACAATTAGGAGTGAGGGAGAAATGGCAAAGCAGACCACCCTGAAGAATCAGCCTTCTCTGTAAAATGAGAAGAGTTTTGACAAACTGGTTAGTTTCCTATCTGCCAATCATGCTTCCTTTCATTCACCCTTCATTAGAAAAAGCTGGTTCAAAACCGTGCTCCTGTTAAAAGGTTCTCCAAGCTCCATTAACGCCGCGATCCTCTGGACTGACAGCAGGCTGAAATTATGCTGGGGACTGGCTTTTATTAAAATGCCGTCACCATGCCGTGTACAGAATAAGCAGACCTCTGAAATGCAGGCTCCAATTATGGTCCCTCCATCTCCTCTGCTCTGTAGGATTTTAAGGAAGAATCGATTTGACTTTTACTGAAATAAAAATGTGACATCTTTCACAGCGCAGACAGGTAATTTTAACTAGGAAAAAAGGTCAACAGGTCACAGGAACACTTGGAGGGCTGTCATTCTTCAGCATTTGTTGTGCACCACAGTTATCTCAGGCAGAAAGTTCAGAGAGGAGGTTAGAATTTTGCCTCTGGCTTCACTCTCATTGGAGGTGCCTATTAGGATGTACCTCAGGCCGGGTGCTTGGGCTTATGACTGCAATCCTAGCACTTTGGGAGGCTGAGGCAGAAGGACTGCTTAAGCCCAGGAATTTGAGACAAGTGAGTCCTCGTTGCTACAAAAAATCAGCCGGGCATGGTGTTGCATAACTGTAGTCCCAGCTATTCAGGAGGCTGAGGTGGGAGAATCGCCTGACCCCAGGAGGTCGAGGCTGTTGTGAGCCATGATTGTGCCTTTGCACTCCAGCTTGGGTGACAGAGTGAGTCGCTAACTCAAAAAAAAAAAAAAAAAAAAGAAGGTGCTTTTTTTTTTTTTGATTGGGAGTCTCACACTCTGTTGCCTACTCTGCAGTGCAGTGGCACGATCACAGCCACCGCGGTCTTGACCTACTGGGCTCCGGCGATCCTTCCACCTCAGCCTTCCAAGTAACTGGAACCACAGGCATGCGCCACCATGCCCAGCTAAGTTTTTGATTTATTGTAGAGATGACATCTTGCCAAGTTGCCCAGGCTGGTCTCAGACCCCTGGGCTCAGGCAATCCTCTTGCCTCCACTTCCCAAAGGGCTGGGATTACAGGCATGAGCCACCACACCCGGCTAGAAGAAGGTACTTGGTATGTCATAAACATGTAAGGTAACCTTCCACTTAGGTGTTCCTGGTGCTCTACAGATATATTCCTAACATATTTAATAAATATGCCCAGGACCAACTAACCTAGATTATACTCATACATTTAGATGATTTCAGGGACTCTATGGGCCTTTGAGTGTTTTTATTTGGCAATACTATCACTGATAGATTGTCACAGCTCTTATTGAAGGCCTTTTTTTCTTAGTTTCTTCTGTTTCCAGCTCCCTTCCTTGGCTCATAGTAATTTAACCACTATTCAGAACTAGGAAAGACAACAACATACTTTAATGTTTCTCATCACTGCCCCAGTAGGTTCCAGACTCTTCCATATCATGGTTCTTGGGATCATTTCTATTGTTTTTACAAACCCTGAAAGCAACGCCTAGTGCCCCGTGGGTTCCTCTTGGGGATGGTGCAGCACACACATGGGTCACAGAGCATGTCTGGGTGTCACCACACAAGCAGTGCCTCTCTGTTGTCCCAAGTCCTGGGTTGCTCCACTGATTGCACAAGGACAGCAAAGCCACACCAGTGGGGGACAAAACCATCCAGTAGTTTAATTTAGTACCTTTCACCCAAATCAGCTCTGTTCTTCCAAAGAGAATTTGTTAATGTTCGAGAGAAATTTCAGTCGAATCTTCATCTCTTGACAGTCTCCCCTTCATAGTCGCTGAATTGGTCCTTTCCGTTTGATTTTTTCCCCCTGCTATTTTTATCACAGAGACAGAAAAGTTGAAATGTGAGCTTCAGCGTGTGAGTCTTCCTTTTTGGTATCCAGTATCTGGCTTTCCAGAATTTGAGCGCACACCGTCCTCCTACACACACACACACACACACACACACTTTTTGTTGTTAACTGTGGTAGGTGTACTAACCAGTGACAGATGTAAAATCTAAGTTTGCTCTCAGAGATGCACTACCTCATTTTGAGGGGGAAGAAAGTGCTTTTTGCTTCCATAAGGACATAAGCAGGTCTTATGCCTAGACCTACTTGACTCTGGCCACTTCAGCTACGAAGCACATGTATGCATTGTTAGCAGTAAGCGTGGAATGATAAACTATAAAGGCTGCCCTAGAACTTGTTCTGCCCTTAGAGCAAACCCAAACCATCTCAGACAGGTGACAGAAACGCTGTCCCACTTTCAAAATCCTCTACAGAAGATTTTCAACCTAGACAACCTATTCACCTATTCAGAAGACACACTGGGAGGCCTTCATACCTTATTGGCCCCTCTTAGTATAGTAGGAATTCATTTTTTTTCTTGTGGCCTTGGAATCAGAGATCTGTTGGTCAGTTCCTGCTTTGTTACAAAGGGCCCTTTTCAGACTTGGTTCCTTTATCCTTTCCTCTGAAGTCCCTTCCAGAATTTCAGCTCAATTCAACAAATATCTGTAAAGGATAACTTTTGTGCGCCAAGCCCTGGGTCAGACATTGAGGTCTCTGCTCCCAGAGGCCAGCAGTGGGAAGGCCACATCCTAAGCAGTAATACCGACATGATACACATTTGGAGGTGCAGATCAGGGATTGACCCCGCTTGGTTTCTTCCACTTCTCCGTCACTTTGAGTTCCTTCCCTGACATTTCAAGTTGGTGACCCTGCCCTGCTCTATCGCGGTGTCAACTGCAAACCTAGTAAGTCTCAGCCCTGTCATTTCAAGTACAAGAAGTGGAACATCGTAATGGGAAGAGCACTGGAGTAGGAATGGGAAGATCTGAGTTCTGGGTTCCAGTTCTGACTCTGCCTTATGTCTTGGGGCAAGTGACTTAACCTTTCTGAACCTTGGCGTTTTCATCTGCAAATAGAAATATCACCTGGCCTGCCAGCCTTATTGAAGTACTGAGTGGGCATGATTGAAGTATGATAATATGGATGCAAGATATGAACATTATAACGTGCTACACAGGCCAGGCAAGGTGACTCACGGCTGTAATCCCAGTACTTTGGGAGGCCAAAGCGGGAGGATCACTGGAGGCCAGGAGTTCAAGACCAGACTTTGTCTCTGCAAAAAAAAAATTTTTAATTAGCTGAGCATGGTAGCATGTACCTGTCTTCCCAGCTACTCAGGAGGTTGAGGCGGGAGGACCGCTTGAGCCCAAGAGTTGGAGGCTGCAGTGAGCTATGGTCACCCCACTGCACTCCACCCTGGGCAACAGAGCCAGACCCTATTTCTAAGTAAATAATTGCCACACAGATATCATAGCACACGCGGGTGATTTATTTAATTGAAGTTTGAAGCTGGTCTGTGACTCCCATTCAAGAAGCAAGACTGGCTTTGAGGAGAAGCCTGCATTTTCTGGGCATGTTAGCTGCCCTTTCTGAGGGTTTTTCTGAGCCAGGAGAAGTTCGCCTGGCATTCTGGGATTTGCCCTGCCAGCTGGGACAGAGTTCCTTCTCTGATTCCGGAAGGATGTTTTCTACTGATCTGTTCCATCGCTGAATCTACGACTGGGTTATGCATGGCAGAGTCACATGCAGATGTGAGGGCTGTGTGATATCACCCTTTCACCTTTATCTCTGGGCGGCTCAAGGGGCGGAGGCTGGCTGCCCTGGGCCCAAGCTGTTTGGAATACCATCTGATTCTGTTCTTGACACAGCATCACCCTCCATAATCTATAGGCAACCTTCAGGGATAGAATGGGTTAATTCTTTCAGGACCTCAAGTACCCAAACTTTCAGGCAGTTTCCCAAAAAAGTTGGTACACTTTATTTAAACAATAAAAAAATAAAAAAAGGCTAGCCTATTCCCAGAGACCAGTTTATAAATATTCTTTGTAAAAATAACAAACATGAAAGCGGTTTCAAGAAGCCCCATGAAATAGGTTGTAAGAATAGTCCACAGAGTACGTATGGTACCAGAACTTTATACATGTTTGCCCACATATTACAATTTAAAAAGAATGTCCCAGTGTCTAAACTGTCACTCCTGAATAGTCATGTCTTCGTGGGTATTGTGCCTCCTTTCACTGAATAAATACAGAATCTGTTTCCTGCAGTGAGATCACGCCTTCTCCTTCAAGGTGTAAGTCCTTGGTCCCCCCAAAACAATTGAAAGAGGTTTTATCTGGATGTAGGTGGACAGACCTGGTGTTTCTGTATATATTTCCCCCTGATTTCAGCTTAGTTGAATTTCAGTTAAAGAAAGGTTCTCTGCTATCCATCTGTGTCTTCCTCTACCTGTAGCGGTAGAGGAAGGTGGTAAATATTCTTCTAAGGATCGTAGAAGAAGGGCTTGGTAAAGGTCACTAAGAAAGTTTGCGGCCATTTCTACCAGCTGCAGAACAGCTATGTGCGTTCAGGAAGAACTACTTTATAAAGTAGTAGCCTTAAAGACCTGCACACCTGACATGGCGACCCCCTTCCTCAGGTTTCATAGCCGGGAAGTTGTGAAGTTTCTTGTGCGATGTTTTCAGTCTCCGTAGAAAGTATGTACATTTTCTATTTCTGATTGTTGTAGAAAATCACCCTAACTCTTTTGTGATTATCGAAGTTTTTTGAAACATGTTTACATCATGAATTTAATTAAGCCATGACCCTCAAGCACTTTTATCAGATGTGTATGTATCTCCAGTTTGCTAAGGGGAAAACCTGATTTACTTTCCAGACATTCATTTTCCAACGAATTATTTCCAGAAACACATGTTACTCCACAGAGTATAGTACTAGAACTTTCTACATATCTAATTAAATATCTAATCCCATGAAATCAAATTTTCAGTCTGTGCGATACCGCTTAGTGTGATGTAAAGTGAGAAATCTAACTGATTTTTGTAACATAACCCAGAAGTTTTTTTCCCTTTGTTCTGTTGTCTGTCTTGTCTAGCTTTTCCCTCACTTTATTTTGTCCTGTTCTTTAACATCTATTTGTTAGAAACACAAAGTATATTCTGTCTGTATTCATTCCCTGGATGCTTAAGATGTTTTTTCGCTGTGTCCTCTGTTTTTACTTATATCATCTTCGCTTTACTGTGTACGGGACATGGTTTCTCACCTATTCACGTGCCATTAAAGATGCAGTATTAACCAATTGGCTCCTATAAAGTGTCAGTATTTTGTGTTTATTTGGAAAACCTTAAGGCAGCCTTGCAAATAAATACTAAAACCGTGCTCGCCCATAAAAGTCGTTTGCTCTACTCAACTGGCATAGATGGCTTAATGTTTGGTGTACTCACCAGGTTATCTGCGTGTAACTAATAGCTCTTAGTCCCCAAAGACAATTTTTGTAAAGAGGAAATAAAGGCTTTCTTTTCTTCTACAATACCAAAAATGATTGTGGAATATTACGCCCATATTCAGATTTGTTGTGTGGGCAGCCAAGTTTTCCATCTGTAGTCTGCCTTTGCATTAGAGCTAAAACTGACTCACTATTCCCTGCCTCAGTTTCCCTGTTTTTTATATAAACCCATCCTCTCCCTCCTGTTTTTGCGGGCATCAGTAAAAACAGGTGATTGCTGCACCTGAAGGCAGTTGCTGGGTATACCTGGAAACCACTGCATCTCTACTGGCCTGTTCCTATGTAATCTTTGCATAATGTTATCCTTCTCTTTCTTCCATTTCCCTATCACCAACCCCTATAGAGTCGGGATATAAGCCCAGAAGAGATAGATTTAAAGAATGAACCTTGGTATAAATTCTTTTCGGAATTGGAGTTTGGGAAACCGGTAAGTTTAATAGCTTCAGTGGTTATACGCCTTTTAAGATCATGCTGTTGGTGCATTGTTACTGCTCGAGAATCAGATCTATTTGTAAGGAGTCAGGAGGTGGGGCGCAGTCGTGTTGGGTTTCTGTAAAGGGATTGTCTTTCCTGAAACACTCCAACCTGTGAGACTTCTTTGGTCTTACTTCTCCGAGGAAGGACAGTGAGCTCTGGAAGTATATCTTGCCGGAATATCCCAGAGAGACACAGATAATCACTGCTTGTCTTGGCCACTCCTGCCACTGAGAGCAGATGTCACATGCCTTGTGGATGGCGTTATTTCAACCCTTGATTCGCTTCCTTGACCAAAGTCTTTATGACATACGGAAAGCAAGCAGGAAAATGCACAGCACACCGAGAAGGCCAGCATTGTCACTGCTGTCAATAGTGTTTTTCAAAGCACACATGTGGCCAGGCTCAGTGGCTCAGCCTGTAATCCCAGCACTTTGGGAGACTGAGGTGAGTGGACTGCCTGAGCCCACGGGTTTGAGACCAGCCCGGGCAACTTGGTGAGACCTTGTCTCTACAATTAAAAAAAAAAAACCCAAAAAACAAGAAACAAAACTAGCCGGGCGTGGTAGTGCACATCTGTAGTTCCAGCTCCTTGGAAGTCTGAGGTGGAAGGATCACCAGAGCCCAGCAGGTTGACACTGGAGTAGCCGTGAGTGTGCCGAGGCACTCCAGCCTGGGTGACAGAGTGAGACTCCAACCCAAAAAATAAATAAATAAAAGCACACATGCTATAAAGAGAAGGGAAGTGCCAAAGCAGGCCTCTTTGGGCAGATGTGACCCACAAAGGCAACCCCATTATAGGTGACTTTCAGGGAATTATTTTTATGAGTTAGGGTAGCATTTCCTAACACTTGAAATGGGAGTTAGGAATTCTAGCATTTTTAGGGTTCAGCCTGAGCTTCCCCATGACATCTCTGACTTGGCCTTGGTACAAATTGACCCCGGATACTTTAAGGAGGATTTTCCTAGCCCTGCACCCAGAAGAACTTCAGATGGAAGGGAGAATTGAGCCCATCCTTTCACTAGAGACTAGGACTGGAAACCGACTTCAGAACTCTCATCTTAATTATTACGGCTGCAAAAAGGAATTTACAGGTGGAGTTGAGTGTATAAAAACATTGTATTAGACGACGGTATGAGACCTTAAGCACTGAATCCAGCTTTTGAATGACTGTGGTCTGGGATGATACTGTTATTTGAAGGCAGGCGTGAATTTTCTAGTTCAGTAAAATGTTAAATGCCACGATGCATTTTTTCATTAAGACGAAGACAAAGAGAAATGAAGCGGGTGCTCTGGAATGACTCGTGTGATTTAGCAGTGCCGAGCTTTGAAAGCACAGGCATCTTCTGAGTTGGGAGCACCAGACTTGCAAACAGCCTGCTTCTTGCTCTTTTCTGGTCCCTCCTAGACTCGGGCTCCCGATAGCCGCTGAGCTGTCCTGGATGAACAGCACCACCTAGTGACCGGTGGAGAGGGACGCGTCTAACCCAAAGCCGGCACCCTTCTCCCCTTCCCCCCCAGACATTGGTGCACACCTCATTTATTCTTTCTCTCCTTTTTTTCTCTGCTGTTCATCATTCCGACATCTATTAAGTCTACCTTTTTCACACTGCAGATATTTGTCGGTATCCTCACCCTTTCCCTTTTCTTCTTTTTCTTAAAACCCGCTCAGTTATCTCACACAAAAAAAGCTTTTGCTTTATTAGTTCTCCTCCCCCCTAAAAAAGACCATTATTGTAGCAATAATGCCATAGTTTCATCAAGGAAAGCAAACGTTATTAGTTTTAAATTATGTTTAATAAAGATTCCATGCACCGTGGCTCATGCCTGTAACCCCAGCACTTTGAGAGGCTGAGGTGGGAGGATTGCCTGAGCCCAGGAGTTTGAGACCAGCCTGGGCAGCTTGGTGAGACCTTGTCTCTGCAATCAATCAAAAAATAAGCCAGGCATGGTGGTGTGTGTCTGTATTCCAGCTATTCGGGAGGCTGAGGCAGAAGGATTGCCCGAGTCCAGCAGGTCAAGGCTGCGGCGGCCATGAGCATGCCACTGCTCTCCAGCCAAGGCAACAGAGTGAGCCATCGACTCAAAAAAAAAAAATTCAATGCCATGGATTTTTAAAGTCCCTTTCAGAATCCAAAAATTTCTGGCCACCTCATCTGCTAAATAACTAAACTAGTTTTATCTGAAATAATTAGTGTTTAGGAAAAATTATGAAAATTTTTTTTCTAATTAAATGTTTGGTCTGTTTGACCAAATTATCATCACAAATAATTTTTCTTGACAACAGATATTATTCCAGTCCCGGTATACATTAAATAGGCTCTGTGAATAGCTTAGTAAATTAACACTGTTTCTACTGAAAACTCCAGTCTGAGTTTTCACTACTTAAGACAGAGGTTGAGAACACAGTCCGTTTATATGAGAGCCTTTCTATCACTTGTATCCCTACTCCATTGCTCTAACTGACCCTTACTTATTTAAAGACTTCGAGATGCTTTTCCAAAATGTCATTTCCTCTGTGCATTCCTTGCACAAACTCCAGAATCCCGCTAATGTGACTACTCCCTTTTGTGTAGGCCTTCCTTTAAAAGATAATACTTTCGAAAATTTGCCAGAATAACTTAGTCTGTGTCTGTATTCTGAGGACCAGCACTGAGATAACTCTTTGTTCCAGTCTGAGGCATCCTAAGGGTGGGCTTCTTATCTAACTGGGCCAACAGGACTTGGGGAAGAATTTTTTAACTTCTCTTCTTACCCCTGACACAAAAGAGTAAGAGACACAAACAAAAGTGGCGTAAGCCATGGGAGGCGTTTTGGAACATTTTCCAGCCGTTTAGAAGCAGAGTGACTGAGGTCGCGGGTTCGAGACCCACCTGGGCAACGTGGCGAGACCTCATCTCTACAATAAATAAAAAAATGAGCCGGGCATGGTAGCGTGCGCCTAGTTCCAGCTACTTGGAAGGCTGAGGCAGAAGGATCGTTGGAGCCCAGCAGATCGAGGCTGCGGTGGCCGGGAGTGGCCACTGCACTCTAGTCTGGCGACAGAGTGAGACTCTGACTCAAAAAAAAAAAAAAAAAAAAAAAAGAAGCAGAGTGAAATTAAACTCCTGCCAGATGGTGTGGATTCACAATTCTACCTTTTTTTTCCCCCTCTCATACCAACTGGGGACCACATCCTCCGAGTACAGTCTACCAGAACTCAGAGTCTAGACATTGACCCTGAATGCCTTTTCTCCTCAGACTCTTCACTTAAAGCCACCCAAAATCAACTGAAATGTCAACAAGATCCTGACTATAATACCTTTTTAGCTGTAACACATCACAGACCAGCAAATAGTTCAAGACTCCAGTGACCATTTTGGAAAGAGTTATTTAAAATCAATTTAATTTGTAAACACTGTCCTGTTTTTACAGTAAAGAAAGAAATGAGTAGGGGTCCCATAAGTGACTTAAAAAGTCTACTTCCTCAGATGAGTGTTCCAAGTGAATTAAGTGTTAAAGGTGAATGATAATTGCAAATATTACTTATTTTGCACAATGCAGAATGTACATGAACAGAGAAGACATGACTGACCTGTCAGTGTCAGTGGTGAACACACGTGAAATCAGATTACTTTTCATTTGCAGATTCGTTACAAAGAGCCTGGGTATCAGCTCTTTCTTCTCTTCTTTTGTCTAATTTCTGCAGAAATTGACCTGATTTCTCTCCATAAATTCAAGGCAGAATTTCACACAGTAGCCTAATTTGAATGCTTATACAGAGTCGGTTATAATGAAAATTGTAGAAAGTTTTCGGAGCTGCCGGGCGTGGTGGCTCATGCCTGTAATCTCAGCACTTTGGGAGGCCGAGGTGAGAGGATTGCCTGAGCCCAGGGGTTCTAGACAAGCCTGGGCAACTTGGCAAAACCTCATCTCTACAATAAATCAAAAATTTAGTCGGGCGTAGTGGTACACACCTGTGGTTCCAGCTACTTGGAAGACTGGGGAGGAAGAATGGCCTGAGCCCAACAGGTCAAGGCTGTGGTGGCCGTGACCGTGCCACTGCACTCCAGCTTGGCAACAGAGTGAGACTTGGATTCAAAAAAAAAAAAAAAAAATCAGAGCTGTGAATGATCGCCCATGTTGCATCTCCTCAGAAGTCGTTATATAAGAAAGTTCAAGTCTGAGCAGGCAGAATGAGACGCTCCGCTCAGTGGGAGAGAGGTTCTAGGGTTAGAAGTGACCTGGACCTTCTGAATGTCCTATCCTCCCTCATTACACTTACAACGATCTCCCACCAGATTTCCATCTTAGGAATACAACTCTCATTCTGACACGAAGGATTAAAAAAGAAAATGAAAATTACCTCTCAGCTTCCCATTTAAATTCTAAGTTTAAACTTTGTTCTCTAAGGGGGATGGAAAGTATACGTCTACCACCAGGAGTTATTATCAACATCTAATTAAACTGGAAAAAGAGATTTCAAAATTGCTGGGGTGAGATTGCCGGGTGCCCTATTAAAGACCCATTTTTGTACACAGATTCTAACGCCAAAAACCACAGAAAGTACTTTTAGCTTAGCTTCCTGTCCAGACCCACACATTTGTTAATACAGGATAAATTTTTACAGCAGAGGAAGACTGCCTCAAAAATGTAGACTCTTCAGTGTCAATCTCATTAAAAGAACAGTGAGGAATTTTAAAGTTTCTGTTTTTGTTCAAATTCGTGTTGATGCTTTTCCCCCACCCTTTTTTTTTTTCCTTTTTCTTTTCTCTTTTTTTAAGTTTTCAGTATTTCGAATCCAAGGATGAGTTGCCTTTGAGACACAGACATAGAAACAGACTTCTTAGGTAATGGTCCCGGCTCCCAAGTCCCCCAGGCTTCTCCTCGGGGCAGGCAGCCTTGTGTCCGAGACCGAGACCGAGACCGTAGACAGTGCCCACCCCCTTCGCTCTTGAGTCCACCTTTCTGTGTTGATACGGTTCTCCTAATGTGCCCCTCCTTGTTTGAGCCAGTCTCCATGTTTGTCTTATGTCTTTATGCTCATTTCTTCATTTCCTCCTCTGCTTCCCGTCAGCCTCCCAAAAAGATATGGGATTATACTCCTGGAGACTGCTCTATCCTTCCTAGAGAGGATAGAAAGGTAATTCCGCTGTGCCTCCTCCGTCGGACTGTGTGTGTGCGCTCTAGCCTTGGTTAGCGTGAGTGTGTTGTGGGTTTGTTTTGTTTTGTTTTCTGAGATCACTTTGTTTTGTTTTGTTTTTTTCTTTTTAACTTGGTGACAACCTTTTTTTTGGCTTGGTGATAAAAAAAACTATTTAACAAAGTCTCTAAGACATATACTAATGTTTAGAGGTTGTTCAAGCAATTACTTATTTTTCTGACATAAAGTATTTGTCACAGACACCATACTCTGAAAAGAGAGGAAATAGGTATTTCCTTAAAGGTAAGGTTTTTGTGGTATTTGTAGTTCTCTTTAGCAAGTAGAATAGATTTTTGAAACTCTGATTACCTCAGGACTTTTTATTTTATATACCTAATGCTGCATTTTCTGTTTTCATGTCTTTAACTAATTTCTGGTGAGCTCTTGGTTTTAGTCATGCCATCTTGGCTTTCTGAAAGTCTAACACTAAAAAATATATATTTTTTTCATTTTTCAAACTTAACCTTCCATTCTTTCTCCTTTTCCTCTAAACTAAACATTCTTTCCCATCTTTTCTTTCTCGAACCAGACTAACCTAAACAAAGACCTCGACCTCTGCCAGACAGAGTTAGAGGCAGATTTAGAAAAAGTGGAGACGCTTAATAAAGCACCCAGTGCAGACGTGCCACAGGTATTTCCCAGTTTTTCTCATGCCATCAGTTCCTCGTCTGGCTCTGCCTCATTTTTTTGTTCGAGGTTTTTGACTTAGTCGAGGGGATGGGCGGCAATGCTGGTTATTTAAGCTGCATGGCTTTCTGACGCCTGGGCTAGACTCCCCCCTCCCCCACCCAGTTCATTTTTTGCTTGGATTTCTTTTGAGCTTGGCATCTTCCTTAAAGGGGATTCTTCACACTTACGCAGAGTGGCTGGTGATTTAACTCCCCCCCCCGAACCCCCATGTTATACTCTTTCTCTGCTTTCAAGGGGGTGACCATTTAATTTCCCTTCTTTCGCCTCTGTGCACCATCTCTGAATTTTCAGGGAGGCATTTTTGGCCATTTCCTTGTCTTTTTTTCAGCCCTGGGAGATGCCAACCTCAGAGACCCTTTTGAAAAGCGCAGCAGCAGTGATGTGGGTGCCTCTCCTGTGCATGGCGCTGTCCGAATAGTAGTGTTTGCCATTTTAAAGGCCAGAAAGTTCTCAATGAAAAAAATGCACTCAGACATCAGACATCCTGGACACCAAGGAGTGTTTGAAATGGAACCTGCATTGGTGTTTTAAGGGGAGATAAGCAAAATGTGTTTTATCAAAGGAAGGAGAGCTGGGTGCGATGGCTCAAGCCAGTCATCCCAGCCCTTTGGGAGGCTGAGGTGAGAGGACTGCCTGAGCTCAGGGGTTCAAGACCAGCCTGGGCAACTTGGTGAGAACTCGTCTCTACAATAAATCGAAAAATAAGCCTGGCGTGGTGACGCGCGCCTGTAGTCCCAGCTACTTGGAAGGCTGAGATGGAAGGATCACCTGAACCCAGCAGGTCGAGGCTGCAGTGACTGTGACCATGCTACTGCACTCCAACCTGGGCAATAGAGTGAGACTCCAACTCAAAAAAAAAAAAGAAGAGGAAGGGAGAGAGAGAGAGAGAGAGAGAAAGAGACCATGGTAAATAGACTTTAAGGGGAAACAAGAAAAAATGTTTGCAGAACTGTCCCCAGAGCTCCCTGACAAAACAAGAGAGACTCTTAAAAGGAAAGGATATCTTTAGAGAAGATAAAAAAAGGAATGTGGATACTGCTGAAAAAGCTAGGAAGGTCCACAATCTGTGGCAGGAAGAGGGGAAACTGCTGGCGAATCCATGTCCTACTTAAATAGAACCGAGACAAGGAACGTCAGACCGGCTCCTGGAGGAACCTGGGGATGAGAAGTCACGTGAGCACCGGAGACTCCAACTAGAGAAGGCGTGAAGAGACCGGGGGTTTGGGGGGCTGGTTAAAGAGAGAAGCTGCAGAGCTGCAGGCTGGCCGGGGAGTTGGGATTGGGGTATCCGGAGTTCCCGGAGCATGAGGGAGCCTGCCAGGCCAGAGATGGGTCCCAGGCTCTCCTTCAGAACTTGAAGGTGGGTGGAGAAGGCAGGATGGGACCGGGGTGGGGTGGGGTGTGCTGAGCTTTCAATCAGGGTGGAGACAGGAACCAGGTATAGCCACTGTGGGGTCAAAGGTTCAAGGTGGGAGGCAATCACAGCTACTCTGGAGGTCTGAGATGACACACTGGCCAAAAACGGATTAGAGGGCACGAAAGTAGAACGAAATACTAAGAGAATGCCTGTAACCTTTGCGAGAATGGGAGGCAGTTGGGGGAACCCCTAGGGGCAGAGCCTGCTTCTGGTACCCAGAACCCAGCCCGGGCCAGGTGGGCAGAGAAGAGTTCTGATGCATACATGAGTCATCTTCACGTTGTTTCACTTACCTGGTGCCCATTTGACCTGAATATGTATGTATAAGACATGCCATGGCAGGTTCTAAATCAGTACCACAAAAGGAACTCAGCCTTCCGGGCCTTGACAGTTTAGCCCCGCTCGTAAATAAAAGGCCCATCAGGGCACAGCAGTGCCTGCTGAAAGCTAAGCGGATGGCAGGGGCTCAGAGTGCCCAAAGACAGAGAAATCTTGTGGAAATTCAAGAAGGCTTCTCGGAGTTAGCCAAGATCCTCAAGGGCAGAGGAAGCTTAGGTACGTGGTGTAACATGGGCATTATCATGAGGCATAGAGAAAGCAGTAGGAAGAACACAGAACACAGATGCGCACGTGTCTAAGGTGTATTCAAAGAGTAAGACAAGTAGCTGGAATAGCAAATTCGGGGTGGGAATAGTGGGGGATGGATTTGGGAAGGAGTGACCCTGGAGTGGAGAGGCTCAGAAAATATGGCTGAGGGAATGATTGGGGCTGACCGCAGACCAGCGATGTGATACACATAATTTTTTCGGGACAGTTGGTTCCGTGCTCTAGGCAGAAGAAGGCATTAGTCCGGGCGTGTGGGAGTGAGAGCCCATGCTGATGCAGCAACGTCAGGCAGGGAGGGTCGACGTGCGAGAGAGGGCCAGAGAAATTGCAGCGGGACGTTTTAACTAACTGGCGTGAAGATCAAAGCACTGGGGGTGGATAGAGACAAAGACCCCTGCAGGGTTTTGCCCAAATAACTAGAAGAAGGACATGAGCACATCGCATAAAAAGCCGGGGCTGGGCACAGTGGCCAGTGCCTGTAATCCACTCCTCTCAGGCAGAGATGAGTGGATTGCCTGAGTCCAGGGGTTCAAGACTAGCCTGGGCAACTTGGCAAGTCCTCGCTTCTACAATACATCAAAAAATTAGCCGGTCATGGTGGCGCATGCCTTGGTTCCAGCTACTTGGGAGGCTGAGACAGAAGGACTGCCTGAGCACATCAGGTTGAGGCTGCGGTGATGGCGAGTGAACTACTGCATTCCAACCTGGGGAACAGAGAGAGACTCCGACTCAAAAAAAGATAGAAAGAAAGAAAGAGAAAGCTGGGAAGAGTATTGGGTGAGGGAGTTGGTTTTAGGTAATTCTCCTTTGAGGCGTCCATCAGGTACCATGGAGGAAATGTCCAGGTGATGGCTACAGCCCTAAGACTAGGCCTCAGGAGAGAAGCAGGAGCTCCAGAAGGCAGTTGGAGTCACCTGAGGTGGTGATGGTGGAAGCCCTGGGAGTGGACGAAGGGGTGCACAAGAAAATCACGTCGAGAGAAAGGATGTGACAGCGAGAACCACCCATGGGGATGTTGGGCGGCGTGGACCAGGAGAAGGGAAAAGGCCGGACCAGCAAAGTTCCAGAAGGTGCAGAAAGCTAGGGATGGAGCAAGCGGAGAAAGTATGAGAACCACCCAGAGCTCCAGAGAGGTCCAGAAAGATGGACTGTGATGAAAGGTCAACGGATGTTATAATAAGAGGTTTCTAAATACTTTGGAGGCCGGGCACGGTGGCTCACGCCTGCAAACCCAGTACTTTGGGAGGCCAAGGTAGCAGGATTGCTTAAACCCAGGAGTTTGAGATCACCACGGGCAACAAGGCGAGACCTCATCTCTACAAAAAAAAAAATCAAAAAATTAGCCAGGCATGGTGGCATGCACCTGTAGTCCCAGCTACTTGTGAGGCTGAGGTGGGAAGATTGCCTGAGCCCAGGAAATCAAGGCTGTGGTGAGCTGTGACCATGCCACTGCACTCCAGCCTGGGCAACAGAGTGAAACCCTGACTCTAGGTTGATTGATAGGGGGGAGAGAGAGAGAGAGAGAGAAACCCTAACTCTAGATTGATAGATAGATAGATAGATAGATAGATAGATAGATAGATAGATAGATAGATAGATAGATAGATAGATAGATAGATATAGAAACCCTCTAGGTTGATTAATAGATGATAGATAGACAGATAGATAGTGAAACCTTGACTCTAGGTTGATAGATAGATAGATAAACCCTGACTCTAGGTTGATAGATGATAGATAGAAAGAAAGAAAGATGGATGGATAGACAGATAGATAAACGCTGAGTCTAGGTTGATTGATAGTAGGTGATAGATAGACAGACAGACTGACTTTGGAGATTGCTAGGTGAGTAGTTGGAGTTAGAGTATGTGGCAAAGACTTAGGGCATCCTGCAGGGTACAGCACTGCTTTAAAAGGTGTGATCATGAGCCGGGCTCAGTGGCTCAGCCTGTCATCCCACGCCTTTGGGAGGCTGAGGTGAGTGGA